GGGCCTATTCTAAGGAAATGATCCAAGTGGTGTGACTTGCTTACTTGGAACTGAATCTCTGACCTGCCTTTTACAGGGCCTATATCAAATATTGCTTTCAGCCCAGCATACTGATATTGATCAGTAAAAGAAAAACAGACAAAATTTGAGTTATGGGAAAATACCATGTCAATAGTGTTAAAAGGCTATGAAAATCAGTAAGGCAATGAGATATCATTTTACACTAGTCAGAATGGCCATTATTAAATAATCAAAATCAATAGATGTTGACAAAGATGTGGAGAAAGGGGAACACTTATACACTGTTGGTGGGAATGTAAATTTGTACGACCTCTGTGGAGAGCAATATGAAGGTTTCTCAAAGAACTAAAAATAGAACTACCATTCAACCCAGCAATCCCACTACTGGGTAGCTACCCAAAAGAAGATAAATTATTATATCAAAAAGACACCTGAACTTGTTATTTATCACAGCGCTATTAACAATAGCAAAGTCATGGATTCAGTCTAAGTGTCCATCAACAGATGGATGGATAAAGAAAATGTGATATTGGCCGGGTGCGGTGGCTCACGCCTGTAATCCCAGCACTTTGGGAGGCCGAGGCGGGCAGATCACAAGGTCAGGAAGTTGAGACCATTCTGACCAACATGATGAAACCCCGTCTCTACTAAAAACACAAAAATCAGCTGGGCATGGTGGTGCGTGCCTGTAATCCCAGCTACTTAGGAGGCTGAGGCAGGAGAATCACCTTAACCAGCGAGTTGGAGATTGCAGTGAGCCGAGATCATGCCACTGTACTCTAGCCTGGCAACAGAACGAGACTTCATCTCAAAAAAAAAAAAAAAAAAAAAAAAGTAGTATATATACTTCATGTAATACTAATCAGCCATAAAAAGAATGAAATTATGTCCTTTGCAGCAACATGGATAGAGCTGGAGGCCATTATCTTCAGTGAAATAACTCAGGAACAGATAATCTATTACTGCATTTTCACTTATAAGAAGGAACTAAACAAGGGGTACACATGGGCACGAAGATGGGAAAAATGGACACTGAAGACTCTAGAAGAGGGGCAGATGAAGGAGCGAGGTGGTAAGGGTTGAAAAATTACCTATTAGGTACAGTGTTCACTATTTAGGTGCTGGGCACACTAAAAGCACAGACTTCACCACTATGTATTATATGCATGTAATGAAACTGCATTTGCATCCCTTGAATCTATAAAAATGAAAATAACATGAAAATAAAGAAAAGAAAATTAGTGAAGGAGTGTAACCACTTTGGAAGGTGGTGAAAACAGATAATGTAAGTACTAAAAATAGACTTTAAGATTTAGCAGCAGCAGTTGAGCTAAGAAACAGTTTGATATCTCCTCAATCATGTCCCAGAGGGGTCCATATTTTCCTTTTTTATGAAACCTGAGCTGCCTTGTGAGGTAGATGCAATGAGGACACATATTGCAAAATCTCAATAAAGATTCTAAAACACATGAGTATTTTCATGGAATGGAAATTAAGAATTAAAAAAAGAAAAAAAAATAGAAGTGAAACCAGGATTTCCCAAAGCGAAGGTTTCTGGGATTAAGAGATGAGATGAGATAAGTGAAGCTGAGCGTGCCATGCACTTCTTTAGGGGTAATGTGAGTTTGGGGAAGGAAAAATGCAGTAAAATGAGAAAAGATTAGGCCTTGATAGTGCATAGCAAATTATCGTAGCATGCCTCCTCACCATATGCTCGTTCCATGATAAATTCATGTTCCAAGATGAAATGAGAAATTAAGATGCATGGGTTTAGAGATTCTGAAAAGGATAATAATAAGGAACCTGGATGATAAAAAAAAAATCCCAAACAAAAAACCACACCCAACAGATAGTCTTTTTCAAAGTTCAATTATTACACACATTTCTCTGCCTTATTAATTTGGGATGTTATTCTGCAAATGTATCAAATCTTTACAATTTACAGTCTCTATACTTGGTTTTCTTGCTTATGTAAGATTTACTCAGACAAAATCTGTTTTGCTGATGGGCTATGAACCCCTCAATTATTTGTTGTTGTTTTCTTTTGGTTTACGAGAATACAGGAGTCATGAGGTAATGTTGCTATGGCAATGAATATGTACAAATAGATGATTAAGGTGGCGGGGGGGATGTTAAATCTTGAAAAACACATTTGCATGTAAATTCTTTCCAGTGAAATAAAAGAATCTTGCATGTAAATCTTTTTCTGTTATGGGCAAAAATATGAAAGAAAGATGTGTTATATCACATCTTGAATAATGCATTTCTATTGTTTATATTAAATAACGTGAACAGCTAAATATGGTCTAAAGAGTATTTTTTATCAATGGTTCATTTTAAAAGACATTGGATTAAGACTGGATTAATTTCCATGGGTGTGTGCATGTGAATGTGTAAATAGTATTTGTGTAAATAAAGTATAATTGGGAGACATTATAAGGATTAAGATCTTTTCTTGGTTGCCTTGAATGTGGCATTAAGAACTCAAGCATATAAGGAATATTTATAATTTCCTGAGTATATTTTGCTAGCTATTAGGATTCCATATATTGAGAGTAGTTAACACCTTACTGCAAAGCTTTCATAGTACCAACATTGGAACATGCACAGGAGGCTGAGGAAAATGGTATTTAAAGATCTAGTTTAAAATATTCCTACAAATAAGGTACTTCGATTTTTGATGCACTAACCTTTCTTGATGTGTTATAGAACTTTGAACCAAGAATTCAAAAGGTCCTGATTCCTATATTGGCTGGCCATGTACTGACTGATAAGGTACCTAACTACTTTTTTGTTTTTATACTGTTCTTAAGAGAAGGTAAGGATCCTTGTCACCTGATGAGGATTCTTTAGATCAGTACTGTCCGATACAGATATAATATGAGCCACATGTGTAATTTAAAATTTTCTAGTAGTCATACTAAAGAGTAAAAAGAAATAGGCAATATTGATTTAATAATATATTTTATTCAATGCAGTATGTCCAAAATACTATCACTGCAACATTTAAGCAACATACAAATTATTAGTAATGTGTTTTATACATTCTTATTTTTGTACTAAATCTTTGGATTAGCATGTATTTTTTATTTACAGCATATGTCGATTCAGTCTAGACACATTTCAAAGGCTCAATATCTACATGTAGCTAGCGGCTACCATATTGATAATGCACCATTAGACTAAGAGGAAAGCATTGAGTTTGTTCAGAATATTGAAATTATTCAATATTTGACTTCTTGGATAATAAGCTTGCTTTTTTTTTTTTTTTTTAAAGCAGATGAGAGCTTTACAACTTGCAGAGAATGTTGCTTACTAAATTTGAGACAAAGTAGGTATGTGGGGAGTAAATACCTACCATTATTGTAATGTGTATGGTTAAACAATGCTCTCTCATATACTACCCTTTTTGATCCTGGTCAAAGTTCTGGGAAATAGGGTGGAATGAAGTTCCATTTACTTTTGAGAAAGACCCAGAAAGTTCACTACATTCTTCTCTAGGCTCCTGGCATCATGATCCAATGGCAGATCACAATTTAAGGTGTAGTTATCAAATAATGAGCAAGCCAAACTAGACAAAATATAATGCGTCCTAGCATTTTCTTGCCTTTTTACAAAAGCATCTGTTTTGTGGGTGTCTGAAAGGGCTCAGATTTGTCCCACATCTCCAGTTTTTTGTTTGTTTGGATCCAGCATAAAATGTGAACAAAGTTTTTTGTGCTTAGGAATATTTTGACTTATCCAAGGTGATGATAGAAGGGATCCTCAGGATGCCACCCACGTCTCAAAGTCCAACAACCATCTCACCTCCAATACTGTGATCCTTTGATAAGTCAAATATATACATCATTTCACCATAGCTCTTTCACAGAACTTAGAACACCTAGCATATCATTTAGTGCTGAGCTAGGTGAAGAAGCAAGCAATGTTTTATTCTAAAGCGATTAATTTTTATGACGCTATCATTTTTCAAGGCACCCCCTAACAGTAGTAACACCAGTATTATATGCTTGCTTTTTCGTGTTGTTCAGGTGGAAATAATCCCATTCACTTTAACGTTCAAGCTCTATAGGTGAATTGAATTTAGGTTAATTTCTATTAATTGGTAGTGTTGCTGTTGTCCTCTTATTTTCAGGCACAATCCACATGGGAAGCACATCCATTTGATAGTCTCTAGGAATTAAATAATACTCAAACAAGTTTCTAATATATTACTTTAAACAATTCTTCCTCTTCCCTTAATCCGTGTGTGTGTTCGTGTGTGTGTGTTCCCTTAGTTCTTCAATTGCTGAAATTGTAGCTACCGAAATATCTTCCACAGGTGAGGTCTTTTACCACCAGACTTGGGTCAAACATTGTAGATGGTCACATCACCTGGCACAGGTGGTCCAGCTTTGGTTGCCATTCATAGAGGGGAGGGTTCCCAAATGGCATTCGAGAAGAGATGAAGTTTGTTAAACCAAAGCTTATATATAGATCCAGAAGGCAGTCAGACAACTGGTCATTCCCAGGGATGAACAGAGAGGGCGCCCTTCCCCAGAGGCGAGAACAGCCAGGACGCAGTGGTGGGGCAGGCCAGTAGGAAGCCCGCGGGGCTCTCACAGAGCAGCCTGGTTGGACTTAAGGGCACTGGACGACGAACGCCAGGAGAGCAAGGAGGTGGGCTCTTCGCGGGAGGCTACAGAGCAGATCACCCGGGCGCTGTCGCCGCGTAGTTGAAGTTTCCCTAAAGTCTCGGTGGGGCTTTCCCTCCCGTGCAGAGCCCACTTCCTGAGTATCTAGTCCCGGAGGCTCCGCGCCGTTTCCCCCCCCCACCCCGCCTCTTTCTTCGCCCCAGCTCTGGGCGGTCTCACTGCCGGGCACAGAGCAGCCTTTGCCCGCCTGCCCCACAGCACCAGGCCCGGGCGGCTGCGAGAGGGCGCAGGGGGCGGAGGCGCGGCAGGGGCGGGCTCTACCCCCCACCCCCTACACACACCTTCTCCCCGTCCGGCTGCGGGGCCAGTGGCAGGAGCGCCGCTCACCGCCAGCCGCGGGGGGCGTGGGATGGGGGCGGCGGGGGAGGGGGGCGCCCGCACTGACTAGAGCCAACCGCGCACTTTCAAAGGGTGTCGGTGCTGCGCTCCCCTCCCGCGGCCCGGGAACTTCAAAGCGGCCCCTGCTGCCCCGGCTGCCTCGCTCGGCTCTGGGGCCTCGCACTCCCGGCTCGGCCGCCTGGTGGCGATGACCTGGGCGCTCCACTCCGCGCTCCGCCAGGCTCTCCTGCTGCTCGCCGCGGCCGCCGAGCTCTCGGCAGGTACGGTGCGGGCTTTTTCCCCAGGCGCCCGCGAGGGTGGGAGCTGGGGGCGGTCTGCGGCTGGGCATGGCGGGGGCGGGGGGGACAGCGGGGGCTCCAAGCAAACTGACCTTCGGGGCGGAAGGGGAAGCGCCAGTTGGATTGAGGGGGCGCAGGACGGGGTGCAACGTGGGCACCTGACGTCTGGCAGCTGTAGGGGTAGACAGGAGTGCTGGGGAGGAAGCCACCCGGAAGAGAGAAAAAAGGCAGGGGCGTGGGGGAATAAGTAGTAGGGGTAAGGTGGGTGACTAATTTGTGGGCAGTTTGCAGCGGAGAAAATAGTAGAGCGTTTGTGGGTGCGCGCATGGCAGGGAGCTGGGTTCACCCTGCAGGGACCGGGAGGGCTGCAGGTGTGCCTCGGACGCTCTCCGTGCTAAATCACTGATAGCTGCTCAAGGATGGTGGCGTGGTGGTGGTGGAAGGTGGTGATTTAGTCTGAGTTTCACCCAAAAGCCGCAGATAACAAGCTATGGAGGCGAGAGTGGGAGCTTAAATCTGTGAGGTTTGCAACGCACATTGCTTTCGAGGTACGATCTTTACTCAGAGTTCCTGGGGAAAAAAATTCTGGCAAGCGCCCCAGAGTTTATAACAGGTCTGTGCCTTGATAGGCTAAATAGAGCCCTCTACCCATTCTAGAAGCCAGACGTTTCTTTATAATGTTTACTAGAAAGTGGGGCAAATGCATCTTTGGTAAAATCATGTGCTGTGACTAAAAGCCCTTTAACTCTAAAACTATTTTCATTACATTGCCCTGGATTATGTAGAGGAGGAGCAGATTATTTGCTAACTCATTCTTTAAAAATTTCTATCAGATATTGAGGACATTTGCACATAAAAATCTGGTGTTTTCCCGTAGAGCTGTATTTCATCTGAAGCTGATTTTGATGCATTTTTGTTTTCCCAGATGACAGTGTTTGACATTAATAGCTATATCCATGGTGGGTCATTTTCCTCTTAGTGACATCTGCAAGAGAATGATTTGAATGATATGATTGCTGTCATGTACAGATTTCAGTGTTTCATATGGCCTGAGAGAATCACTAAATACAATATTCAAATACAAATTTGATTATTGAAAAGGATTAATTGATAAAACCTGAGGATTAAAGCATTCCAGTTATCTTTTAGGAAAACAGCCCAAGGCTGTCAGAAAGATGATGGAATTAAGTGAAATGTTTGCATATAGCGTTAATACATTTATAAATGGGAGAAAACTATAGGAAAGTCTTTTACAAATGCGCGAAAACTCTGCTAACTTGGGATATTGAAAGTGCTCTTGACAATTTAACAATTTACAAAAAAAAAATCTTCAAGATATCACAGTTTTGATGGGGTGAAACTGCCTCTGCAAGCTGCCTGTACAACTCTTTATTTGGAGGAGCTGATAACTTGGCTGCACACATTTTAAAAAAGATTCAATTATTTTTTAATGTAGCTTCAAGCGTATATTTTGTTGTATACCCAGAATCTTTAAAAAATTTCAGAGACCTTGAGCATAGCAACATGCCTCATATTCTTGAAAACTTGAAGGCATGGAAACTTTTGACATTGAAACATGCAAAAAAGAAAAAAGTAGATCATCCATTCAAAGTTGCTCACTTAAAATTTGAAGTCTAAGAAAAATGCATAATATGGAGTAATACAGTAGAAACATATTTATTGAAGTTGAACTTTTACAAAATCTTTTCTATGTCAGGTGCAATCATTTTCAAATCTCCTTAAGAAATTTTTATCCTTCTGCATCCCACATTGACAATGTACATTGATACTTACAGTGTTTATTCTTAACTTTGTATAAGTCTCTGGCTATTTAATAGAAAGATTCAAAGTAATTTTGTTTTGCTTTTCATTTTCCCAAATGGTTTTATCACGTGGTTGCCCAACTGTATTTTCACCTGGTCACTTTTACAAATTACACTGTTAATCATATTGGTCATTTATGGTAATGTATTTGCCATTGTTGGAATCTTATGTGAGACGTTGTTCTTGACGTAATGACATAGTCAGTGAAACTTTGTGACAGAAGACACCACCTTTCATTTGGTTCTGCAGAGCAGGCCTAGGACTTTAAGTATCTGAACACATTATAAACCAGTAGACCTTTTTTACTTTGGCTGCTCATTTTCCACAATGTTGTCACCTTAGGGGTGTCCATTGCTCCTTTTTGAGAATCTCAGAAGATAATAACTGGTGGAGACTTAAAAAAGCTATTTATGGGTCTGGTCAGGCTGGCCAGGTGCAGTGGCTCATACCTCTAATCCCAGTACTTTGGGAGGCTGAGGCATGAGGATTGCTCGAGGCGAGCAAGTTCAAGATCAGCCTAGGCAACATAGTGAGATGCTATCTCTACAAAAAAATTTAAAACAATTAGCCAGGTCTGGTGGCACATACCTGTAGTCCCAGATACTTGGGAGGCTGAGGCAGGAGAATTGCCAGGAGTTCAAGATTGCAGTGAGTCATGATTGCACCACTGCAATCCAACCTGGGTGATACAGTGAGACACCGTCTCTAAAAACAAAAGAAACAAAAAAAATTAGACTGCTCTGAGTTGCTCTGATTATCTAGGTTCTGGATGCCTTGATGTTTGATAAGAGAGACTTGACATGGCTTCACAACATTCATCATGTGTACCCAACAAAGAAGCGGCAGAAAATGTCCTAGAGTTCTCTACTTTGAAGCTGTGATTTGGATGTTTCATAGATTTACATATTGTGCATTCTCTTCAAGTTTCTGGAAACTCCTTTGTCCTCTGGTTCCAGAAAGGATTATTAAGATTCTAGAAAGCCATATGTTGTCACTCCAAAAATGGAATGAGTGTTTCCTTAATAACCAGGGTGAGAGTGGGGGTTTCAAGTAAGGAGATTCTCTCTGCTCTCCACTTCCCCTGTACCCCTACCACAAACAACAGTAGTTTCCACTGAGAGCTTTCCACAGTGCTGCTAGAAGTGAAAGTGAAAGCTTGGTGCTGACTGAGTTTATAAATGCAAAAGATGTTGCCACCTTTGTCCTTCTTTAAGCATAGTTATTTGTTGGTTGATTGACACAGATGTGGCAAGAGGCTCCCTGGTTCCAAGGAAGAGACATCTCTGGCCCTGGAGGAACTGTGCATAGAGATTTCCTCTGAATTGTGAAACTCATATAAAAAATAAAGGATTTTGAGGTGTGAAAGTGAATAGCTAAGGATGAGACTACAGTTTTGACCCAAGCAATGGAAGACTTCATTGGATGGGGAAGACTGCTGGAAAGCCATGTCTGGGAAGAGAAGGGTTGGTGGTGACAGATCACAGGACATCAGTTTTGGATATGTTGAGTTTAAAATGCCTCTCAGATGCTGAAATGGAGATGTCAAGTAAGCAATTGGTTTTATGGGTCTGAAGTTCAGGGAATGAATCTAGACTGATAAAAAATTGAGAGCCGAGCACATTTACTGATAACTTTTCAAAGATGTATTTAATAGAACTGCTTAGCAAATAAGGCACAAAATACCTTGTTAAATTGAATTACAGATAAACAATGAATACCTTTTTACCGTAAGTGTGTCACAAATATGACATGGAACACAAGTATACCAAAAATTAATTGCTGTTTAATTCCAATTTAACTGGGTGTTCTGTACTTTTATCTTGTAAACCAACATAAAAGAAATCTTGTTGAGAGATGAACTGTTCCTGATGCATATATTTCTGACTTTTATTAAAAAGAGAAGTGAGCAAAGTGAACACCTATTTTCCAGTTCCCATCTCTAAAAACCTCTCCTGTTCCAGCTCCATTACCGTCTTCCTGTACATCTCTGAATAGGTCACTCCCAACATGTTGCACAGGATAGCTCTCTTCTTCTGTGTGAACCTAAAAGGATACCTAGATTTTCCCAATTCAACATGAATATCTAGATATGAAAGTATGGGTGAAAAAAAAAAAACAAGAATAACTCTTGATTCCCTTGATTGTTGCATGAAAGCAGTTGGTTGTTCCCAAGTTTGCTGTATTTTGGAAGTGGTTATTTTCAGATGCAGTTTTTGAGTAGTTTCCTTTTGAATAAACTTTCATGTTTCTCTTTTAGGGGAAATGTTTTCAGGCAGCAGCCAAGACCCAGTTTGTTGTACTTTTCTTGGCAATACTTGCATCTCTTGCCGTAAATAAGGTTAAGAGGGGAGGATATTGGATAGAGTTAGGATTAGGGAGACTGCTGAGCCCTACCGGACCTGTTACTCTGATGTAGTTTGAAGTGTTAGAGCACGTTCCTAAGAGAGCATCGACAAGTTTTTGGGGGAAAGGGCATGGATACATAAATATTCTGAAGCTGCTTAGTTCCTGCTCTAGCTTGGTCTTGACCTGTAAGTGTAGCTACCAAATGATTAATGTTATCTTCAGTTTGAGAGCTGTAGTGTCCCGTAAATGGACAACTGCAGGCATGGATTATTAAAAAGCTTAAACAGATATGTTGACTTGTATATAGTTTATTTCAATAAATAATAGAATTAATTTTCAAATATAATTGGTAAACAGAACAAAAGAAAGAAAAATTTCTAAGAATAAAGAGTATACTATGTGTTATACCTTATCATTTAAAAAATTTTTAAATTATTTTAAAAAATGTTTGTGGGTACATAGTAGATATATGTATTTATGGGGTGTATGAGATGCTTTGATGCCGGCATGTAGTGTGAAATAAGCACATCATGGAAAATGGGGTATCCATCCCCTTAAGCATTTTATCCTTTGAGTTACAAACAATCCAGTTATGTTCTTTAAGTAATTTTAAAATATGCAATTAAGTTATTACTGACTCTAGATACCCTACTGTGCTATCGAATAGTAGATCTTATTCTTTCTATTTTTTAAAATCTTTAAAAAAGTTATACTTTAAGTTCTGGGAAATGCGCAGGTTTGTTAAATAGGTATACACATGCCATGGTAGTTTGCTGTACCCATCAACCTGTCATCTATATTAGTTATTTCTT